CAAATTTGACTCAATCCGAGCTCAAATAGGTCCAAATCAAAGACCCGAAGTGTGTTTGGAGTGTTCAATCCATAATTTCAATTACCAAACAGTTTCCAAAAGTGACATGCTTATGGTCAAATCGAGTGGCTCGACGAGACAAATCCAACGAGTCCAAGATCGTCAATTCTAATATTGTTAAGACATTCAAATGCTTAATAAACAGTCAATGATCAAATGATTCGACATGGGTCGGAATGGGAACGGGTCGGAATGGGAACGGAGAAATATTTTTCTTCTCAGATCAGCGGAAATATGGAGGTTTGGGAGAAGATATTTTGAAAAAGCTATCAACAAAATAATAATTTTTTCGCCAATTCAAGCCCGACATGAAGAAATTACGGCCAAACAAACAAGGCCTATATCAGCCACAACTTTTTTCCAACCACTTCTACACAGACATAACTGTCGTTAATCACTTCTATAATTACATAAATTTGTACACTAATCAATATAATTATATCTAAACCTTAAAAATAAGCAACTAAAATAATATTATCAAATAAATCCCTATTCAGAATAAAATATTTATCAATATCTATTTTTTTCTTACAAAGGAGACGAGCATCTAGTAAGTAAACACGATTACAGTTAGGCGTAACTGCTCTTCAAATTAAGCAGAAGATTGCTCTTAGCTGTCTGACAATGATGTTTTAATTAATAACGGAATCAAATCTCTCGCAACAAATTAATCTGAACCATTAATCGTTTAAAAGACAATTAATTAGATATTAAATCAGCAAAATATATTTCTCGGTGAAAATATACAAAGGAATTGAATGAGATTATTTAAGAAAACTAAAATCATTACAATTACATCACCATTAATTAATAATTAGAGCCCAATAGGAAAACGTTGGAGAACCGATGATTTCTTCTTTTTTGGGATTCTGAACTGAGCTTGAAGCTTCGGAAAAATTACTTATAAAAACCAACTCGGCAACGCTGCGGGGAGAATTCTCCGGCGGTGAAACTTTCAGCATTCGTAGAAATGGACGAGCTCGTCGAGCGAATCCGGCTGAGGGTCGGCGTTCTCGAGCATCCACAGGAGGTGCTCGAAGAGCACCACTTCGCAGCCGACGACAGTGTCGCCGCCGCCGCCGGAGTCGGCACCGCTGTCAGAGCGCTCAACGAGGTTCTGGAAGAGTGGGTGCTCGACGAGGTCGCAGTTCACGATATAACGCCGGCGAGATTTTCCGACGTATACGGGATGGAATCCGGCGGGTACATCGTCGCCGTGGAAAGAAGCAGCATGCCACGCGTCGTCTTCCTGCGAACGGTCAGATCCTCCGCCGCCGGTGCGGCTGATGCGGTTAGATGAGTTCCACCGCTTTATCATGCACCTGAGCTTCTTCAGCTTACCGTTCTTCGCCATCGCCGGTCTGCGATCGAACTCGGATGGAGGATAGTTTGAAGGATGGGGAAGAGGTACATGAAAGAAGAGAAATAACTTATTTATATCAAAAGAAGTAGATGGGGCCCACTTTCTTGGGTTGCCAGCTTGGCCTCAATGGCAGCTAGCACAGTAAAAATCTATCAATTATCTTAAATAAAATTCATTTTCTTAATTATTAATATGGAATATTAAATAAGAATATATATATATTCATATTATTCTAATTTATTTCAAGATTATATAAAATAGATTCAAAATAGTCTCTCATATTATAATTCTAATATAAAATTGAACCCAATAAATTATTTAGAATTAATTTTGTATTACCGAGAGGCTAAGGCTTAATTTGGGAACGATTTTTTATTGCTTTCTAAAACGGAGTTTTAATACAAAAATAAAAAATTTTGTACAAAAACTCCATTTTAGAAAGCAGTAAAAAAGCCGTCCCAAACGGAGCCTAAATATTCATTTAGGAGCTTTTTGACTACTTGTTAAAGCAACTTTTTAGCTTTTTTTATTAAAAACTAATTTATAAAATAGTATGAAAGATATCTCAAACAAAATCTAAATTGTAATAACATTATACTCTGAGACTAAAGTAATCATTTATGAAAAGTCATGGACTATTTTGAAATTTAACTATATTAACATATAAAAATAATTTTGATAATTTATATTTTTTTATTAAAAACTTAAAATTAAAGCCATTCATGAATCATTTATTATTTGAATACATACGTACGGAATGATATAAATAAAGCCAATTCCATATACAATAAAATGATAGATAATCATACCAATTTTTTTCATTTGAGAGGTTTAATTTTTCCATTTGAGCGTGCTGAATTTTATCTCACTAAGACCAAGTAAATTTGTGTATTTACATCATATAGAATTGTGCGCGCTGGACGCCTATGTAAAAACAATAATCAGATTAATTATCAAATTATAGATTTTTAAAAATATCATTAAAAAAATATTAATTTGATCGAGTAAAAGGAGCATTCCTTAGATAATTAAATAAGTTAATAACGTGGCATAGGTCTTGTGGTTTTTAGAATAAAAAAAAAATTGTATGAAGCTTCTTTTCTATTTTAATGAATATAAAAAGTATAAGAATAAAAATATTCACTATAAATTAATTAATATAATATAACAATTTCATCGTTAATAACATTATAATTTATTGTATTTTTTATATTGACTGTTTGTCTTTGGTATACGTATGCATATATAAGTTTTTATTTTATTTTATTTTTAATAAAGCAAGATCTATGACATCATAAATGGACACAAATCTCAAATCATAAAGAAATTCCTTATATATAACTGCACAATATCATTTTCTTTGCATTTAGATTCGTGTTTATCATCATTAATGAACATAGATCTTATTATACAATTAATTAAAAAAAAAAAACATCATTTTTATAGAACGTTAGAACTCATTGAGAATAATTTCACACACACTTCAAATTTGCAAGATTTACCTCTTAGTTAATTGTCAGAGCTCTCAACCAACACATCAAATTGAGTCGCGTCATTGAGGATTTCTGTCTAAGATCATCTCTAACTGAAATCCTCATTTTACATTAAAAATACAATAATACTTTAAAACGCAGTAATTCATCTACAACCGAGCTTTATTTTTAAAATAAAAAAGAATAAAACAAGTATATTCTTTCTCCAACAAGAAAATAAAAAGAAAAAAAATTTGACATTGCACGGTTTTCCTTGAGCAAAATGGCGTTGAATCTGACGTTCGATTGGAGCTCCGCGGCCATTTCAAACTCTCGTTTGGGATTCGGTTGGAGATGCCCTAACTAGTTAAGCCTTTTGCTGCTGTATTCTCTACCTTCAATGGATGGTTCAAGCTTGGCAACTAGGTGACGATTATTTTGTTCCATTTTGTAGTAATCTCATTTTCTGATTGCTTGGAAATTTGTAGCTTACAATGATATTTTATGCTTTGTGATTGTGGGTCTTGGCTCTTTCGGCATATGTTTGTATGGCCCTTCTCATTTATAGAATAAATAAAGTCTTTGATTAAAAAGAAAATTTATGTACAAGATTTGCTAGGAGTCTAACTAGCCTCTATATTGGCCTTGTTTGCTTTATTTGGCTGTAAAAAATTTATTGTGGCCATGTGATTGATACTTGCCTCTTTTGTTGTTTAGAGGAGCTTAGAGATTGATGAAATATATAAAATTATCATGCATGCATGCATGTTGCTTCTTTATGGCTTAAAAACCAAACATACTAAAGTAACAAAAAAATTTATTATAAACTTATTTAACAGCAAATCCAAACAACTTCTAAAAGCACCTTACTCTGAAGTCTGAACCAATGAGCACTGATGCCTTTAACGATAAGAAATTTGTAAGCACTATCTTAAGCCATCTGATTGAAATCACCGAAGGAAAAGAGCAAAGGAACCACAGACAATAATTGTGTCGGTGGGTGCTTAGTTCTTTATTAGTTCAATCAATCAGAACAGTATAGTTGAAGGAATTAATTAATGGCCTGTAAGCAAATAAAACAACTTTCTTAATCATCTAATTTGTCTTCATTAAGACACTTAAATAGATTTGGCTAATCCCGAAGAAAGAAACCTGGATTGTTTGAATGATCTGGTTTTTCTTAGGTTTCGTTTAGGATGACTTTTTTATTGCTTCTTAAAATAATTTTTACACTAAAAAGTTATTTTTAAAAACAGTAAAAAAATCGTCCCAAACGAAGCCTTAGTTTGATACTCTGATCATTCATAAAGCGAGTTTCTCTTTACTTTATAACGAGAAACTAGTTGCAAAAATCATGGTGCTAGCCATAAAAATTAGTAAATTTCTTTAAAGCTGAAGAAGGTGTTGTCAAATGTTTGAATAATTCCTTCTTCAACTACTTGAATTGTTTTGGTCAATTAAGACAAATTCACACACACATTACATATGCAAAACTCGAATTCAAGACCTCTTGGTTGGTAGTCAAAGCTCCCAACCAATTAACCAAGATGAGCTGCGTGCAAGGACTAAATTTGAATTTGAGGCAAGTGCTACAGAGATATTAAGATAATTTTCTAAATTTCTAAAATGAGATGCGTGGATTGCGAAAGAATTGCTCATCTTTAGTTCTACGAATGTGTTGAGATGAGTGGCGCATATTCATTTTAGGAGATATATTAAAATGAGGGGTAGAACTCTCAATTATATTCTATTTTGTAATGGCTTCATGAATACATGAATAAAGAAGAGGAAATCATTTGCTCGATATATAGCTTAGACGATTTGGTTTGAGGATGATGACAATCTCCATAATAATGACTCCATTGTAGGTTTAGTTTGAATATGAATTTGAAAGCCTTAGCTAGTTGTATGAAGGACAAAGATTGCTTTGATCATGGAGCCATTATTAAGGGATAGAGATTTGTGTGGCTTACAATTTTTGCAAACGGGTCGATTTTCTGGAACTGAATTACCCGGTGCCAACAAAAAACTCTTGTTTTTGGGTCCAAAAACAGGTCAATCTCTGTTTTTTGGGTCAAATACGGGTCAATCTCGGATAGTCGGGTCAAAAACAAATTTTCATGTTAAAATGGGTCAATTTCGTGTCAAGGGGTCAACCTGAATCTGACCCGTATTTTCAAACAGGTTGAATTGTTGAACCCAAACTCGATCTGTTTAAGGTTTAGGTCAACCCAAACTAGAAATTTTCGAATCGGATTGGGTCCAATATTAACACCCCTAATCTTAATGTATTCTGTTACTTTATCCTTTCATTCACTATGTTGTTGACCACTCTTAGGGATTATGATTTTTCCATCTCTAGTTGTTCAATCACTCCAAATAGGAACAAACAACTCAATAATGACTTCATGTGCTGCCTTTGTCTCCTTCTCATGAGCTAAGACATATCACAAGCAAAAGGCATATCACTCGCCATTCTCTTCCAATGCATCTTCTCTTTCATTGAGGATAAATTATTCTGTGTGGAGACCGGACGCAAAATATTTTCTGGAGATCAACCAGAATGCGCCGCATTCGTAGTATCGAGCAGTACCGAATTACAATACTAAGCACAAAAATGATGCCCTCACAGAATAATTAATCCCCATTGAGAGCCACATGGCCCCTTTGTAAGGAAAATACCTCTTTTCATTGTCACACCAGAGAAGAAATTTTTATTATTTTCTTAAAAACATAATTTTTAGTGTGGGCCATGCACATCACCTCCTCTCTCTTTCTCTTTCTCTTTCTCTCTCTCTCCCCCCTCTCCTCGCCTCTCCTGATTTTTCTAGAGGCTTCTGCAAACAGGCCACGGCATCGGCTCTCCCGCTGCTGAGACTTCTCTGGAACTTTCGTCTCGCTTTCTTTATATTCCTCACCACCGTCGTCGAACAAACCCTAATTTAAGAAAACCCTAATAACAGCGTTAAAGTTTCATCGAAGAAATTAGAAAGTGATGATTTTTCTGCCAGACTCGCTTCATATTGATTCGGGTATCAGCAATTTGCTGCACATACCAGAAGCCCTCGAGAAGATGGCGGCATTTCAGCCAGCTCGGGGCCATGACGGCCAACGTATCTACGACGGTGGTAGCCGCGCCGGAGATGATGGGGGGATTGGCAACGTGCCGGTTGACATTCTCGAAAACGCTAATAACTATACTTTCTTCTTTGACGTTCCCGGCCTCCCGAAGTCGGAGATCCAGGTTAGTGGCCAATGAGCAAATTTTAGGCGGGGAAATTAGGGTTTTGTTCTGTTTTTTCGTCAGGGGTTAGGGTTTTATAGTTGAATGTTTATTGGCTGGTTTAAGATTCAATTCAGCCAAGTGGTTTTTAGGGTCTCTTAAATTTTGAGGTTTCTTGATGTGCAGTTGCAATTTGTTGAAGAAAATAGCGGATTTATTCGTTTTATTTGTTTAAAATTTTGTGTGAAATAAAATATTTATATCGGTTTTTTCTTATAGGCACTGAGATCAACAAAGTTATTTTCTATGTACTTAGCTTAATTGAATCTTCTTGTTGTGATTTTAAAGGTGAACCTGGAAAACGAAAATATACTGGTTGTTAGGAGCAACGGGAAGAGGAAGAGAGAGGACGGAGAGGAGGAAGATGGTAAGTATCTGCGGCTGGAGAGGAAGGCGTCGCCACCGAGGTTTACAAGGAAGTTTCGTCTACCGTATGACTCTAATGCTTCTGCGATCACAGCTAAGTGTGAGGACGGCGTGCTGACGGTGGTGGTGGAGAAGCTGCCGCCGCCGCCAGAGCCGAAGACGGTGGAGGTGACGGTGGTCTGAGAGGGGAACGGGGTACTCGGAATTTGTAGGTTTTTAGGGTTTGTGAAGGTGTCGGGAGGGTGTTCTCTCTCTGGCTCTCTCTCTTGATGTTTGTTTTCTAGTTTATTTTTGTAAAAGAATGGTCATTTTGTAGTTTTCTTCTTGGGTAATTTTGGTTCGCTTCAAAGAGAAGTGCTTTGATGCTTGTTTTAGAATTTAAAATATTTTAATTATTGGATGAACTTTATATATTAAATTAAATTATTGAACTAATTTTAAGGTTAATGTAATATAAATTTTAATTTATTTTAATGCATGTTACTCATTTTAAATCTCTTAATGGAGAAAAAAAGATTCATGTAGCTCCAATGCCCACATGTTGATTGGAACTCTCACCTGACACATTGCAAAGGAGAAGGGCAACAGGGCAACCTGCCTCAATGGGGAACTTTTATTACGTTCTCTGACCCGGCGTAGCTCTACGTTCGATCAGAGGATTGTTACTCGGTTTTTGCTCAGTATTTGTTCGGTATTGCTAGGTATTGTTTGGTAATAACGAGGAATACCGCTATGTGAAGATCAATACCGAGAAATGCAGAGCAATACCAAATAATCTGAAAAAATACCAAGTTTTTTTAGAAAAAATTATGTATTTTTTTTAGAAAAAATTCCGTATTTTTTGAGATTATTCGGTATTGCTTGGTATTTTATCTTCACATAATAGTATTTCTCGTTATTGTTGGTATTGCTCAGTATTTGTTCGATATTTCTCGTTTTGTGCCTGCGATCTTAGTGTCGGTCGAATGTAACTATACGTACGTTCATCGGACCAAAAAAAAGTTCCTCAATGGGGCACATAAATTATTATGTGAGGATATCAAATAGGGAGAATCATCAGGATTTTTTTCTATATACAGTAAAAGCACAGTTAAAATGTAGCTGTTATAGCAATTGTGTTTTGATAGCGCATTTGCTATAATAATTTTGCTTTGATCTACTGTAGTCAAAGAGAAATTCATATGCATCTCTCTATTAGGTGTTCAATTGAAGAGAAATTATTTTGTGGGAACACAAGATGAGAATAACAGTTCTCTGTGCTTTTATTTAATTTTTTTTTTTGGGAAATTGCTTTTACTTTTCACAAAGAAATCTGATGATTCTCCCTCAATAGAATAATTTCTTCTCAATGATTACTCTGATAGGTGTTCGAACCTAATAATTGAATTGAGGAGAGATTATTTTGTGAGAACACCACAGATGAGAAGAACAATTTTTTGTGCTTTTTTTTCTTTTTTTTTTTTAGGGAAAATGATTTTTTTTTTTCATAGAGAAATCCAATGGTTCTTTCTTTCTGGTGTCGGCGTAGAATAATTTCTTCTCAATGAGAAAATGCATAACACAGATAATTTCCTAGTTTAAAAAAAAAAAAAAAAACAGAAAAAGAAAAAGTCATCAGACATTAAGGGCGTCACAGGTTTTCTTAAAAAATAAAATCCAAAATTCATCAGAGAGTGTATAAATCAGTTGGAAGTCTGGACGAGTGATTTGTTCTTTGATTTTTAAAATGTTAAAATTTCTATATAATTAATAGCTTACATGAAATGTGATTTATAAGACTTTATTTCTGTTTATTTAAAACTAATTAAAAAATAGTACATAGCCATACAGAATTATATATATAACAGCTCCATTAGAAAAAAAAAAAGCAACATAAAGAAATTATGCTAAAACCTAGAAAATAGCATGGAATGAGGATTGAAATGGGATTCAGAGTGAGAAGATCAAATAGAAAAATAAAGAGTTTAAAACAGATAGCTCCATACACTAGCAATTTAGGTTAGATTTAAAACAATTTTCTTACTAAGTAGTTTTTTAATACAAAATTTTCTAGTTAAAAAAAGTGTTAAAAATTGCTTTAAAAAGTACAAAATCATTCCAAACAAGATCTTAGTTGCTTGAGCAAAAAAAAAAAAAACTTCAATAATAGAATAGCAGTTCAATGAGGGCATCAATATCCCACTTAAACTAAAAATACCAAGCCACCAAAACAAAATAGAGGCAAAGAAGAAATTATTTTGTGCGGATTGAGACCAATCAGAATGCGTCATGTCATCCCCTGCTTGGTACTTGGCTTTGTATTGCTGACGTGACTCATTCTGGTTGATCTTCGAACGATAAACTACGGTCAGCACCCACACAAAATAATTTCTTGATAAGAAGGCAGTGATACAAGAAGATATACGTCCAAAGGATAGTCAGGGCCAGAGCAAAAAAACATGGCAGCACAATAAAACCCATCAAATATAAATGCCAACATGAATTTCTGTAGTATAATGAACGCATTACATTTTTTCCCACTATTACATTTTTTTCTACTTGGAGAAACAACAAAATTAATGTAAACTTCTGTACAACCCACAGGCTTCTCAAAATTGAATATATCAAAGGATTCACCTACCAAAACCAAGGAAAATTTCATTGATCAAAACACTATCTATACAAAATCTCTATAGATTTCTAGCTTATCAGCATTCCCTAGCTACCCCATTGGGTTTCACACTTCTTCTCACGCCAAAACTGACCTGCAAAACTGTATGTCACAAGTACACTATTCCCGAATAGGTCTAGAGATCTTATGTGCTGGCTTTGGGAAGAAGTAGATGGCCAATATGGCGCAGAAGCTTAGGCCAACAGCTCCATCAAATGGATGCCAAGGATGGAGGCTGGCAAGCCAAGGAGGAGTCTTGGCCCTGTAGGACAAAAAATTGCCGTTCTGAATGACAAAATTGGCAGCCATTAAACCTGTGCGGATGCCAACAGGGGCTGCAAGCTTGCCATGAGCTCTTTCCTTGATGCCAAAGAGAAATATAGATAGGAGAAGGAATCCTGGCACCGATGAAAGCGATCTGCAAAGGGATTCATAGAAACAGATTATGAAACTTTCAGACTATAAAGCTTTTATGCTGTCATGTTTAAGAATGTGCTGCTTATACGGTGGTTAAGGTTGAGAATTTTAATTGAAAGATTTGAAGAACTCTTGAAAATAGGTCTTTTTTTGGTTAAAATGATCTCTCAAGTATGGGTCAAAACCACCTCAAATTGAATTAGGATTGATGGGTCAAAACCAGGTCAAATTGAATTTGAATTGAGCCAAATATGAATTGAGGAAGGTAGCTCGATTGAAGAACTTTACATTTTATAGTTTGCATTATCTAGATGCACTGAGGTTATATATGTGAATCCAAAAAATGAAATGGATTCATATGTAAAAATGAACCATAGCTCTCTTCTTTCAATGGATTTGTAACACTTCAATTTATGGAAAATGAATGATGAATGAATAGAGTTTTTTGTCGCAATTCATGCAACCTTGTTAAGATGGGTTCAAAAGTATGGCGTGTCAGCGTATGCTATCTTAGATGCCAAGTACTTCCTTCTTCCTTGTCAGGGTCTAGGAACCTAAGTTAAGTTATTGTGATTAACGTTCTCTTTCTAATTCTTCCATCTTCCCTCATTATTCCACAGTTCTTCGTGTGCTACAGCTACTCCCTACCACCACCTGCATTAATAAACCAACCCACTCTCTTTGCACATGCCACCCGGCAATTCCAATATGAAGAAATTGTTTAGGGGAAATTTTATACCTTGAAACCATTCTATATATATATATAATCTAATTAACTATAATAAATAGAAGAGGAAAATAATTCCATCTAATTGATTTTAATAATTATACCCCACGAATCTTCAAATCAATCCCACAAATCTTGATGTCATAAGAGTAAATCTCCAATTGCAGCCCACAGATTGCTGACCTGTCAAAAGCCATGGGCCCTATCCTCGTCATGTGATTCAACACTACCCCTCAAGTTGGGTTGTACAGGTTGTACAATCCTAACTTGCAAACAAACTTGTCAAGCGGAGAGCTTAGTAGTGCCTTTGTTAAAACATCGACAAGTTGTTCATCAGTTGGGGTATATACAACTTCAATTTCTGAGTTCTCTATATTCTCAAATATGAAGTGTCTATTAATGGTAACATGTTTTATTCTATCATGATGTACTGAATCCTTGACCATACTGATTGTTGCTTGATTGTCACATTTCAACTTTATCGTGCCTTTAATCTTTATTTTCAGTTCAATCAATACTTGTCTGATCCAAATACCTTCAATAATAGTAACTGCTAATGCTCTCAGTTCAAATTTTGCACTGCTTTTGGAAACAACAAATCACTTCTTGCTCCTCCATATCACTAGGTTCCCCCACACAAATAAACAATATCCTGTGGTCGATCCACTGTCAACCTGGCTTCCTTCCCAAGCTGCGTAAGAATGAAGGATCAATTTTCTATCTTTATTTTTCTTGAATAATAGCCCTTTTCCAGGAGTGTTCTTGAGATATCTCAAGATTTGATATATTGCCTCCATATTCACCTTCATAGGATCACTCATATATTGGCTCACCATGCTCACAACAAACCCAATATCTGGACGGGTGTGGGAGAGGAACATAAGCTTTTATACCAGACATTAATATCTTCCTTTATCTATTGGAACCCCCTCATTTTCTATCCCAAGTTTCTTCTTAAGATCCATAGGTGTACTGGATGGTTTACATACCAGCAGGCTAGTCTCCTTCAATAGGTCTAAGGTATACTTGCATTGGAAAACAAATATATCTTTGCTTGATTGAGCTACCTCCATACCAAGGACATATCTAAAGTGATCCTAGATCTAAGTGTCAATCTTCTCCAAATTCAGTTCCTGAAAAATACATACATTATTTGAGGAAATTGTTAAGCAATACTATAATAGGTCAATTTGCTAATGGAAATCAGATTATAGGAGAAAAAGTTGTCGGAACTAGAGTAGGTCTCTTTAATGGGCCGTCTCTTAAAGAAGAAAGTTATGGAGTTGATGAGCCAAGACATGATATAATGATTCTCTGCTTTCCATTTTCTATAGAGAGGATCAGTTTGCGGTGGTGTAGTAGCTTCACCAGTGAGATAGTCCTATTTCCCTCTCCTGCAAATAAACATTCTCACCGATTGAGACCATTGCAAAAAATTTTGCCCTTTAAATCTGTGATTTGTGACGAGAGGAAGAAAAGAAGAGTTGTCTGCAGATCCAACATTTCTGATGTTTGAACTGGTAATATTTGGGTAGGAGAATGAGATCTCGCTATCTATAGAGATGCTTGGGTTTCCTCAGTTGAAAGAGAAGATGAATTTTGAGCAAAGGCTACCGGTGCTTGAAGAGAGGCTATCGCAGGATGATGGAGAGTTACCGCCGGCTGAAGGTTGGAAGAAATGGATAAAGGTTTTTCGTTGGCACTTAGAGAAGACTTAGAATTTTTCTAAGCTCTGATACCGGGAAAAAAATTTTTTAGGGGAAAATTGAATTTGAATTTTATTCCTTGAAATTATTATATATATATACATACACACTAGGAGAATAAATAGAAAAAGAAAGACACTTAATTTAATTAATCATAATAAACAAAAGAGGAAAGTCATTTAATCTAATTGATTCTAATAATTATATCCCATGGATGATGGAATCAATCCCACGGATCTTGATGTCAGAAGAGGAAATCTCCAATTGTAGCCCATAAATTATTGACCTGTCAAAGTTGTGGCCCTCCATTGATGTGTGATTCAACACAATATCTCCCTCTTATTTTTAATTTTCCTAATTGCCACTTCCTTTTACCTAAAAATACTCCCTTCTTATTTTAATAAAACAATCATCTCTTTTAGTATGTCACATCATATCCCATCAATCTCGCCCTCTTAATCCACACATGGCCCCTTTTCTCACAATATCTTCCAGCTCAGATGGACACAATCTCATTTTCTCTTTCCTAACTAATTAATATTCGCATAAAAAACTATCACCTATTTAATAAACCTTCCCCTCCGTAAACATCCCATCAACTCCTATCGCTCACCAAACATATGTATGAAAGCTACAACTTACCTGAGTTAAATTTTATTTAATAAGTTGAATATTTCAATCTCTAATTTAAATCAGAATGCTTAATCATAAATTTATTAAAAAAATTCTCAACATTTATTACTCCAATTAATGAATAGTTAATCATCTTTTAAACCTCTAAAAACATGCCGTTTTAGCCAGTGGAATAATTAATCATGCCTTGATACGTATTTGGAAATCCTAGTCTTTTTTTATGTCTTTTAAAATTTCATGTCAATGTGCTGAGGTTCGTATTTTCTTTATGAGATCATGCAAGGCTATAGACCACAGCTACAAAAGGAATAATTAAAAGTTTATAAAATAAAATTAGGATTACATAATTAAAAGACTTGATTAAAAAATATTAGAAATGACTTTTGTTTATTAGATTTGAATGAGAATTTAACTCTTAACAGGACACAATAAAAAAAAATGATTCAAATTGTCAACCCCACATAACGTGATAAAGACTTGATATTGTTGTTATGGTGAAAATGCCTTCATATATTCTTCTCCTATAATGAACTGATCAAAGAAAATTATTGTCTCGTCTATTCAGTTTATTTTATAATTATGCAGCAAAATATGAGGGTTGCACCATTATAACTTTTTCAATCGTGTAAAATTTTTCAGTTGACAAAATAGAGGTTGCCTATATGTAGGATCATCAAGCCATATGTAAATAAAAATGATTTTGAATGAAAAGGAAAGTTGATTGAAAATAATAACAAGATCACGCTGGACAAAGAATGGGAAAAAAAAAACTTACAGCTAGCTGTAAGGAAGAACAGAACAAAATGCACAAGTCTGAGGGCTTACCTTTGAATTAGAGCAAAGACGATCCCAGAAATCATTATAGCACGATAATATCCCATTTCAACGGCTATCTCCTCAGCCAACCAAGACCTGAATAATAATTCTTCAACAACAGAAATACCAGTTGCAGACACAATTCCTTGAAATGTTAAGAGCAGCAAACTCCCATAAACTCTCAACAAAACAATAGCACCTGATGAGGACGAAGGTAGTACCGTTGTGGAAGCAAAAGAAACAAAACCTAATAATGCATTAACTGAATGAATGCATGAGACTATCATAATTCCTCCAACCAAACCCTTAAGAAAATCAAAAACCTGCAAGAAGAAGAATAAATCAAAACAAATTCTCTGTTGTTGAGTTGTTTTTAAAGGTTATCAAATATTCTTAACCTAAAGCCAACCTTTTTATTATATAGATAAAAAGAATTTAGCCAAAATTAACTCATTTATCATATAGATCATGTGATTTTTTTTATCAATATGACCCATTTAACCCAAACACAATCCATTTTAACACAAAAATGACCAGTTTAACTTAAATCTAACACGTTTAACCCAAGCCTAAATGATAACGAGTTTTCGAGTCAACTCGAATCTAACCCAAAAATTAATCATAACAAGATTTCCAACCCAAACTCAACCCAAAAATTAATCAGGTCAACCCTAATTTGGATTTTTTGAGTCGGGTTCGGGTCGAGACGTTTATTAACAACTCCACCCTCGCCTCCCCTAAATAATTTTTTTTTTGATACATCTTTATATATATATATATATATTAGATAAAATAATAATGAATTACCGTTGTTTAATGTTTTAAAAAGCAAAAATTCAATTAATGCCCACTTCAAATCATAAAACTAATTTATGAGCCCCCGTTCAGAAATTTCCTGGCTTCTTCACTACCACGATTCAAAGTTAAATGATATTTTATAGGTATAACCCAGGAAAAATCTAAAATAAATATATCTTAAATTTCTTCGAATCCCAGCCTAACCAAAAGTTTCAATTTAACACACTCGAATTCCAACAAGAGCAAGCTTTCAACCTTAGGAACCTTAGGTCAACAAAAATAATAAATTTCCAACTTTAAAAAACCTGTTTGAACACTATATGTAAGCCTCCATTTTATTAGCTGCAATGCAAAGCTTAGAAAGATTAAGAATTCAAAATCAGAACCAAGCCAATTTGAACAAGTTTAACAAGCTAGGGCGTTTTGAGCGTCAAAATTGGGCAATTTTTATGTCAAGAGATTCATCCTATTAAGTCAGTCTGAGTGATGGGGAATCTGTGTAGTTTTGGCACGTTCAAACTTTGACATTCCATTCCTGAGTAAAGTTGAGTAGCTGTTCTATTCTCTGGATTCGCTATGAGATGCATGTTTCACATTAGAAATTGTGTTTGATTAAATAGGGAATTTAATGAACTGAACAAATAAGATCTCAAACAAGTTTTTTTAAATAGATGGACATATATTGAACACTGCCATTGATAGTTCCCAAGCCTTAGATGAAAAAAATAGAGAGTTGTGTTAGACAGTCAATAGCTTACATAAAACTTGTCAAATAATCAAGATATGAATTCTTTAATACATTATATTACTATTACGGTGTTCCCTATAAGTGACGCATTGTATAACTTGAATACAATAAAGAGTGTAGGACCATTGCACCGGCGCCAAGGTGCAGTGTTAAATAAACAAGGGTTCTCATATCATGGACGGGTGTGGGAAAAGAAACTATATTATGAAACTAGAATTAGAATAACAACTTGAAATATAAGTCCTCTTATAGGTAAATCAATAAACTAATAGAGATATTATGATTCATAGGATGATAAATATTCTATGTATTAAGGAAACTAAATGTGTTAGAGAAAATACTGAAGATTGATAGTTTATGATTTAAACTATGATATTTCGGTATGAGTCGTAATTGGAATGATATAAATGTGATTATATATAAGAGTTTGAAAGATAATATTGTAGAAATTAATAAAATTAGATATAGAAGTATGGCTTTAAAAATTGCTATAGATGCTAATATTATTAATATTAAGTGCTAATACTTCTTAAATATTAGGGAATTTTAGAATGATTTAGAAGAACTAATATAGAAGATTTCTTTTGAAGTGAGTTTTTATTGGATGAGATTTAAATAGATATGTTGGTAGAGTGATAAAAGATTTTAAAAGTATTCATAGTGGTGGATTTGTGTTTGGTGTGACAAACGAAGATGGAAGGACAATATTAAATTTTACTCTAATTTATAATTTTGTAATTGTTAATACCTTATTTAAAAAAAGAGACGAGCATCTCATAACTTACAACAATTCATCACTTACAAGAATGGACATAGCAAAACCAAGATTTATTATTTTCTTATAAGAAAAATATATTGTTTAGATTGCAAACATTACAAAATTATTCCGAGTATATATATATATATATATCATCGTTTATTAGTTTTTTTATTTGATGTAAATGGGAGAAATATGAAAAATAAAGTAAAATATTATCCTGGGATTAGATGACGGTATCTAGAGAAATTAATAAAAATATTTTTGAGAGAATAATTCAAAATCTCAAAATTTTGGTTTGTTCATTAGGAAGCTAATGTTCTATAAGGAAAAATAACTAGTGATATTAAGAATATTGCAAACCATGTACTTCGAGTATCAAAAAGAAAAGCTTCCAATAGCAAAAATAGTTGGTGGCGGAATCAAATATGCAAAAAAAGATAAAAAAATATGAACTTTGTTACAAAAATTAATTTAGATGTATAAGCTCAGAAATTAAGAAATATAAGGGGCTCATAGAAAGTCTAAGAAAGTAACTTGTGATGTAAAAAATTTAGCTTTAGTGATTTATATAATATATTAAATACTAAAAAGGATGAAATACATATGTATAAGTTAGTCAAGCAAGAAAAGTAAAAATCTATATAAGTGAAGTGCATTAAGGGTGAAGAATAAAAAGTGATTTTGTAATAAGACAATATTTAACATAGGTGAATGAAATATTTCAAAAAACTTATCAATGAAGATTGTGCGAATGCGGTTGACTTTTAGTGACCATAACATCATAAATAAAAATAGATATTTTTATTTTTATCGTTATATTAGTTAATCAAAGTTGGATAAATTTTAAAGAAAATAAACTGTGAAGAAGCAGCGGGACCTGATGATATTCTAATAAAGGTGTGAAAATGCTTAGAAGATCAAGCAATTTTTGGCATATTAACTTTTTAATATTATTTTGAAGATGTTGAGAAAATCTTTGGAGAAAGAGATCTCGAATGGAAGAAGTGGGAGAAAGGAAGAGAGCTCACAAATCTTTATTGATTTGTTCTTAAGTATACAACACATCAATTAGTATCATAACCTCAATATAGACCCAGGCTATACATACAACTATACAAAATAATATCTCATATGGAAACCAGTAAAAGACTAAAACCAACATATAAAATTATACCAAATACTAACAATCTCCACCTTAGTCCAATTTTACTATGTATAACAAAGAAAAAACCTCCATACAGTCACATGCTTCTTCTCCACCTGTTATTCACCAAAAACAACCCTAAAAAGCTTCTCCTACAATCACTAGCTCTTCCTTCACCTGCTATCCACAAAGAACAACCAAGAAAAGCCTTCTCGCCAGTTGCATCTTCTTCCTCCACCTATTTGCTCGAACTCATGTCTGCTGCGACGCCCTAGCTCCGCTTCCAATCTTGTGAACCCGTCTTTCGTGACTAGCCCGAACTCTCGTACGATCTCCTCCCTCAAGCAGCCTTCTCTCGTTCAGCTTGCCTCTCGTGTCCTAGGCCCGTCTCCAGCACTCCTGCGCCTGGCCTGGACTCCCGCACTGCACCAGCTCCCGAGCTCCAGCACCTGGTCCAACCATGCTTGCCTCCACCAGTCCTGCTTGCGCCTTGGCGTGCTCTTGCCTGCGCAAACCCTTGGTGATTTCAAAGAATAGCCTTCCTGCCGCAGTAATTCAGTCTCCAAGAATTGTTATTGCACGGTTCTTTCTGTTGAGCAAGCTTTGTCCGTTAGAAGATTTTTGAGCTCGCTTCCGCACGACGCAAGCCTGCCATCTCTCTTGCTTGATTACACGAATCAACTTCCTCCTTCCTCTTGATCTTGCTTATCCAAGCTTTGATACCAATTGTTGAGAAAATCTTTGGAGGAAGAGAACTTGAATGGAAGAAAGTGGGAAATACGAAGAGAGCTCACAAATCCTTATTGATTTATTCTTGAGAATACAACACATCAACTAGTATCAAAGCCTCTATTTATAGACCGAGGCTATGCATAAAACTACATAAAACAATAGCTAATATAGAAAATAGTAAAAGACTGAAATTAACATATAAAACTAAACCAAATACTGATAAAAGACTAAAAAATGTTAGATGAATAGAGGAGTGTGTTGGTTCCTTTTTTTAAATAAAGGTGATGCACAAGAGTGTGAAAAATTATAAATGAATTAAGTTAACATGAGACACATTAGAACTATGGGTGAGAGTAATTGAGCATAGGTTACGACTTGATATTAATGTTTCTCAAAATTAATTAAGATTCATGTTGGGTAGGTCTACTATGAATGCTATACATTTATTGAGAGGTTTGACGGAGAAATATAGAGAGAGTAAGGAGGATCTTCATATGATAATGTTCTAAAAGAAGTGCTCTGGAGAGTTTTAGAAAAGAAATCAGGTAATAATACTTATATTCAAGTTCTTAAGGATATGTATACAGAAATTGTTAATTATGTTCAAATATAAGGTGGTTTGATCAAATATTTTCTTATTTCAGTTTGATTACATAAAGAATTAGCTTTAAGCCAATATCTTTTTGCTTTAGTCATGGATGCTCTTAGTAGACATTTGCAACATGATTTATCCTGGTGTATGCTTTTTGCTGATGATATTCTTCTTGTTGATAAGACTAGAGAGAATTGAAGAAAAACTTAAACTATGAATGTCGAGCTTAGAGTCTAAAGATTTTTGTTTGAAAGCCTTATCTGAAAATTCAACACGTACAGATAAAAGTAGTAAGATTAGAAATTTCTTAAACCCATAATTGGGTGATATTGGGCTCGTTGGATTCGTCCCGTCGAGACACTCGATTCGACTATAAGCATGTCTAATTTAGAGATCATTTAGTCATCCATTTAATATTTGAAGTTTTCAATTATGTTTTAAGTGCTTGATTTGGGCTCCTTTGGGGTCGAATTGGACCACTTTTGGCATCGTTGAGTTTGTCTCATTGAGATGTTCATATCAACTATAAATTTGCTGAAATTGAAGTTC